CTTTTTTTCCCCCAGCATGGATGGTTTTTCTATTGCCAAGTTGCTTTTGTTTGTTTTTTTTTTAATAGATTCTTGTCTCTGGTGATGATTATTATTGTGGCATTTTGCCAGAAATAAAAAAAATCCGGGTAAGAGGTGGGTGAGCAAGACAAATCAGGGACATTTACTTTGTGCAGTCATCATGATGTAGATAACTTGATTTGATTTAATCCTTCCTATGAATTGTCATTAGCCAGAGTTTGCAAAATAAGGCAACTGAGATCCAGAGATAAATTGTTTGTGATCACCTTGCTTGTCAGTGAGAGAATGCAGAGCAAGACTCAGATCTCTAATCTAGAACCTAGGTGCATGATCATTGTGCTATAGAACCCAACATGGCATTTGGGATCAGCCACAAGTCACTAGGCAGCACATAGAATGGCTCTGTATGATGCTCACCCCACATTCCCCATTCTCATCCACCCCACATTCCCCATTCTCATCCTATCTTGTACTGCTCTCCGTAGAAATATCCCTATGTAAGAGGAATGCCTTCTCTCTGTAGGCAACCTTCACGGTAAATGTGATCTGTGCTGGAATTCTTTCTTTCTTTCTTTCCTTTTTTGTTGTTGTTTTAACTATTTTTATTTCTTTAATAATATATTTCATTTAAAATATGTTTTGTCCACAACTTCTGGAGGCATCACGATCCCTGACTTCAAGCTCTACTATAGAGTTACAGTAATAAAAACAGCTTGGTACTGGCATAAAAACCGACATGTGGACCAATGGAATCGAATTGAAGACCCTGACATTAATCCGCACACCTATGAACATATAATTTTTGACAAAGAATCCAAAAGTGCACAATGGAAAAAAGAAAGCATCTTCAACAAATGGTGCTGGCAAAACTGGATATCAGCATGTAGAAGGCTGCAAATAGATCCATATCTATCACCGTGCACAAAACTTAAGTCCAAGTGGATCAAGGACCTCAACATAAATCCAGCTACTCTGAACCTGCTAGAAGAGAAAGTAGGAAGTAGTCTTGAACGCATTGGCATAGGAGACTACTTCCTAAATAGAACACCAGTAGCACAGACTCTGAGACAAACAATCAATCAATGGGACCTCTTGAAACTGAGAAGCTTTTGTAGAGCAAAGGATACGGTCAACAAGGCAAAGCGACAGCCTACAGAATGGGAAAAGATCTTCACCAACCCCACATCTGACAGAGGACTGATATCCAGAATATATAAGGAATTCAAGAAATTAGACATCAAAATGCCCAACAGTCCAATTAAGAAATGGGCTATAGAACTAAACAGAGAATTCTCAACAGAGGAAACTCAAATGGCCGAAAGACATTTAAGGAACTGCTCAACATCCCTAATCATCAGGGAAATGCAAATCAAAACAACTCTGAGATACCACCTTACGCCTGTCAGAATGGCTAAGATCAAAAACACTGAAGACACCTTATGCTGGAGAGGATGTGGAGCTAGGGGAACTCTCCTCCACTGCTGGTGGGAATGCAAGCTTGTACAACCACTTTGGAAATCAATATGGCGCTTTCTTAGAAAATTGGGAATCAATCTCCCCCAAGATCCAGCTATATCACTCTTGGGCATATACCCAAGAAATGCTCAACCACACCATAAGAGCACTTGTTCAGTTATGTTCATATCAGCATTGTTTGTAATAGCCAGAACATGGAAACAACCCAGATGCCCTTCAACTGAAGAATGGATAAACAAAATGTGGTACATATACACAATGGAATACTACTCAGCAGAGAAAAACAATGGCATCATGAGGTTTGCAGACAAATGGATGGATCTAGAAAAAAATCATCCTGAGTGAGGTAACCCAGACTCAGAAAGACAAACATGGTATGTACTCACTCATAGGAGGATACTAGATGTGGAACAAGGATGACTGGACTGCTACTCACATCACCAGGGAGGCTACCTGGAAAACAGGACCCCAAGAAAGACACAGGGATCGCCCAATGACAGAGAAATGGAATGAGATCTACATGAACAGCCTGGACATGAGTGGGGGGTAATGAAAGGCGAGGGTTGAGGGAAAGAGAGCTTGGGGGAGCGGGAGATCCCAGCTGGATCAACAACAGAGAGGGAGAACAAGGAATAGGAGACCATGGTAAATGAAGACCACATGAGAATAGGAAGAAGCAAAGTGCTAGAGAGGCCCACAGAAATCCACAAAGATACCCCCACGATAGACTGCTGGCAATGGTCGAGATACAGCCCGAACTGACCTACTCTGGTGATGGGATGGCCAAACACCCTAACTGTTGTGCTAGAAACCTCATCCAACTACTGAGGGATCTGGATGCAGAGATCCATGACTAGGCCCCGGGTGGATCTCTGGGAGTCCAATTAGCGAGAATGAGGAGGGTTTATATGAGCGAGAATTGTTGAGACCAAGGTTGGATAAAGCACAGGGACAAATAGCCAAATGAATGGAAACACATGAACTATGAACCAATGGCTGAGGGCCCCCCAACTGGATCAGGCCCTCTGAGTGGGTGAGATAGTCGATTGGCTTGATCTGTTTGGGAGGCATCCAGGCAGTGGGACCAGATCTTGTGCTCATTGCATGAGTTGGCTGTTTGAAACCTGGGGCCTATGCAGGGTCGCTTGGCTCGGCCTGGGAGGAGGGGACTGGACCTACCTGGACTGAGTCTACCAGGTTGACCTCAGTCTGTGGGGAAGGCTTTGCCCTGGAGGAGGTGGGGATGGGGGGGGTGTTGGGGGGAAGGTGAGGGGGACCGGAGGGGGGGAGAACAAGGGAATCCATGGCTGATATGTAGAACTGAATTGTATTGCAAAATAAATTAATAAAAAAAATATGTTTTGTCATATTCCCCCTATTTTCTCTCTTATCCCCCAACACTGAACTTCTTCTTTTCCCCTACAAATCCCCTTCCTACTTTCCTGTCTTTGTGTGTGTGTGTGTGTGTGTGTGTGTGTGTGTGTGAGAGAGAGAGAGAGAGAGAGAGAGAGAGAGGAGAGAGAGAGAGAGAGAGAGAGAGAGAGAGAGAGAGAGAGAGAGAGAGATTTAATTAGGGTTGTTTGCATGAGCATGGGTTGGGGGTTATTTACTTGAGTGAGAACAACTTACCAGTGGCTATACCATTGAGGAATATGACTCCCCCTCCCATAGCAATCATTAACTGAATATAGCTCCTTATGGAGGGGTGGGACTACAGGGACTCCTCTTCCATCTATGGTGGAATGTTGATGAGCCCAGTCATGTGCAGGTAATCCCCACTGATGTGAGTTCATGGATGTAACATCCAGTTAAGTCTAAAAGACATCATTTCACGATGTTCTTCTCCATCCTCTGTCACTTACATTCTTTATACTCCTTTTTAGTTGATGCTTCATTAGCCTTGGAGGGGGTAATATAGATGTCCCATTTGGGGATTAGCACTCAAAAGTCACTTATGGGGATGGAAAGATGGCTCAGCAGTTACAAGCACCTGTTGTTCTTACAGAGAACCCAGGTTTGGTTCTAGACACCAACATAGTGACCCACAACCACCCATAACTCCAGTTTCAGGAATCCAACACTTTCTTCTGACCTCTGTGGGCACCAGGCATACATATGGTGCACATACATACATGTAGGCAAAACACCCATACATATAAAAATTTAAATATCTTTTAAAAGTCATTTATTATCAGCACTTTGATTAGTTATGAGACTTTGCATTTAAAAGTCATTTATTATTAGCACTTTGACTAGTTATGAGTCTTTGAATTAATCATTTCCCACTGTACACAGAAATTTCTCCTACCCAGACTAAAGGTAGTACCAATCTATGGGTATAAACACAAATATTTAGAAGGCAGTTTGATATCATGTCCATTTAGCCAAACAATAGTAGTGAATTTCCTCCTGGGGCCTTATGACCTCCTCAGCCATGAGCTATCAGCCAGATTTACAGTACCAGGCATGCCTTCCTCCTTTGGAGTGGACCTCAAATCCAATCAGAAACTGGTTACCCCCATAACCATCATGCCATTCTTGCTCCAGTGAGCATGTCTTGCTTGTGGTAGTGTATTGTAGCCCTCAGAGTTCACAGTTGGGTAAGACTATGGATGACTTTTCTCCCCCCAAATTCTACATAGTACCTTTCAGCACTAAACTAATTAGCCATCAGAGAGGAAGCTTCCAACTTGATTTACCAGCTGAATTACATACATGATGTAGCAACATCATGCCTCCAGAAATAGGTTCTTATCATCTAGTTTGGGTGAGTAAACAAGAATAATAGCAATAGGCTGTGTTATTTAGAGGGCCTCTGGGGTCTCTCTGACCATAGGGAGATATCCTATACCTGTGGAGTATTTGACTCTCAGCTGGCTGAAGACTTTCACTAGACTCCAGGATGAGAGGCTCCTTTCCCTTCCACATCCCTGTCTTTCTGTTCTGCCTTAGAATAAAACCTAGGACCACGTGCCTAGAGGTGACACCACCCACAATGGTCTGAACCCTCCCACATCAATCATGAATCAAGATAATGCCCTATGGGTCAATCTTATGGAGGTGTTTTTTTTTTTCAAATAAGTTTCTCCTATTCCCATATATGTCTAGATTTCTATCATATTGACAAAAAGCAACCAGCACACCCATATTTCCAAGGGTTTATTTAATTCATTGTTTCTAATGGTGGCAAGATACTCCATGGTATGTATTCACTGCAAGTCTACACTTTTTTTCCTAGTGACTGACAGCCAGGAAGCATCAAATTCAGGCAATCTTACTTTAAAACTTCTACCCTTAATGGCTATGACATCATTGTTCTCTGAGCTCTCTGAGTGTTTGAGACTTAAGAACATTTTATAAAAAGCATAAAGGTCAAACTCATTGTTTATAATGTTCCTATTTTCTAGGACTAAGAAATTGATTGTTTTTTGTTAAAACACCTGCTTCCCCTAAAGCTGTATGTAATTGTTTTTCTCTGCCTTTCATATCCTGTGGGTCTGCAGCGCTGAAAGCCGCATTAATCATCCAAACCTGGTACCGACGGTACAGAGCCCGACTGAGGGTTAGACAACATTATGCCCTCGCCATCTTCCAGTCTATCGAATATGCTGATGAGCAAGGCCAACTGCAGGTCTGTTTGGCAAGTGTCTCCCCCCTTCTTGTTATTGAAGGAATGAAACTGTGGGTCTGTTTGAAGCTGAGGAACCTTGATGAAATGCTTTCTTAGAGGCTGTAATGACCATTGTTTTGTAACTAGTTGTTAAGGGATTGTCGTTTAGGGAGATGGTATTTCTCAGTTTTGAAGTTCACATTTTTTAGAGCAATGCCAGATGTCTAGCTAACTAATAAAAATAGTCTTTTTCTATTTCTTGAGCATATTCCATAATGGTGAATAAAATCGTTACTTTATAAGTGGAATTTTTTTAAAAAATGGAAGTGGAAGGCTACATGTTAGGCAAACACTATACCACGGAGCCATAGCCTCAGCCCAGAAAAAATAGTTGTGTTTGCATATGTTGTGTGTGTAGGTGCAGGAGCGTGTGCACATCCATGTGTATGTGTGTGGAATGGGTATCAGTCCTCAAGAGCGGTCCACCTTGGCCTTTTTGAGATAGGATCTTTCAGTGAGATCTAAATCTTCCCAATAGGGTTGGCTTTTAGGGAAGTGATTCCTGGTGACTTTTTAAAATCTCTGCCTCTCCAGTTCTGGGATTACAAATGGATACCACCCTGTTGGGTTGGCTTTTAGGGAAGTGATTCCTGGGACCTTCTTATCTCTGCCTCCCCAGTTCTGGGATTACAGAAATACCACCGTTCGACTTTTTTTATATAAGTTCTTCGGATCAAACTCAGGTCCTCATAGCGAGCACTTTGCCAACTAAGTTATCTCCAAAGCCCTTCAGACAGGCTACTTTTAGGCCTTAAATAGAGAAGGTTTTCCAGGGAACAAGCCTATGAAAGTTCTAAAAGAAAATATGTGAATGTGGAAGTCCTTTATAAAATGATGGCACAAATTCATAACTCTAGCTTTAATACTCACTAATAAAAATGAGTACCTTTTAACCATAAAATGATCTTGAAAAATATTCAATATAGTTATGAATGAAAGAACCCACTTACGGAGTACTACCTAGAGTTTGTCCCCTGCATGTAAAAGAAAATTAAGCATTCAACCAACTCTGAAAAAAGATACACAGCAAATTCTGCATAATGGCTGCTGGCAGGGACAAGGGTGGCATTGAGGAGTGGGTAGGGATATTAAGAGAGATGTCATGTTCCTTTGGTATTGGTTAAAGTTTTAACAAGCATTTTTAAGTATCAGATTATAGTCTTTAAAAAGAACTAAGCAAATTTCATAAAGAGTTAAGTTGGCAAATCTCTTCTTGGTAGCTATTAAAATGACACAGGTTAGGCCAGGCATGGTAGTGCTTGTCTTAAATCCCAGCACTCAGGAGGCAGAGGCAGGAGGATCTCTGAGTTTGAGGCCAACCTGGTCTATATAGTGAGTCTGCGGACAGCCAGGGCTACACAGTGAAACCCTGTCTCAAAAAACAAACAAACAAACAAACAAACAAACAACCCACCACCACCAAAAACAACAACAACAACAAACCCAACAAGAACAAAAGAGACAGGTCATTCAATATTCCCTTTGCTTTTATTAGGAGCTCATAGTGTTGGCTGTCTTTTTTCAAGTATTTATTTATTTGTTTGTTTGTTTGTGTATAGGTGTTTTGCCTTCATGTATGTCTGTTCACTGTGTGTGTTCAGTGCCCAAAAGAGAGAACTGGATTCCTGAGACTGGAGTTATAGATAGTTGTAGGCTGCCATGTGGATACTGCAAATTGAACCCTGTTTCTCTGGGAAAACAGCCAGTGCTCTTAGCCACTGAGCAATCTCTCCAAAACCCATGTAGGCTGTCAATTTAAACAGTATTAATTTTGCTACCAAAGAGATAAAAAGGAGAACATAAGGAACAAAGAAGTCAGGAAGAACTATACTTTCTGGACAAGTCTAACTTCAGCCTGATCCCATGAGAAGTGATTAAATGTGAAATAGATCATCGTTTGTCCCATGTATGGCAAGGAGGTGGAGGACTGGGTTGTTACACTTTTGCTTCAGTCAGTCATGTATGGGCAGCTTCCCAGGAGGGGTGCATGTATCATTTCTATGCAGCTCAGTGTGGTGCTGCCCATCTGTGACTCTTGGCATGTGCTGTAGCAGGAAGATGAGTACAGCAGGAGAACAAGGGACTTGCATAGACCTCCGATATTTGCTGCAGCAGCTCCTCAGTCTTTATTAATGATTTATATCATTTTATCTTGTGCAGCTGTCCAACTTCTTTTCCTTCATGTTGGAAAAACTACACCAAGACACCCAAGGAAGATTCAGGTAAGCAACCAAAAAAAGTTTAGCCTTTTAAGGTTTTACTCACTTTTATTTTTAAATTATGTGGGGGAGAGGAGTGAGTGGGGAGGTGTGTGTGTGTGTGTGTGTGTGTGTGTGTGTGTGTGTGTGTGTGTGTGTGTGAAGGTGAGTACAGAGTCAGTGGAGGCTAAAAGGAGACATAAGATTCTCTGGAGCTGGAGTTACAGGAGGTTATGAACCACACAATGTGGGTGCTGGGAACTGAACTCTGGTTTTCTACAAGAATAGTATGTACTCCTAACTGCCAAACAATCATTCCACTTCTAAAGCATGGTCTTTTGAAAAGCAGTTTTGTATATTGAACTGTCTTCATTGAAAATGTAAATGAAGATGGTAGATGCTATGCAATTAAAAAATGTTCACCTTTCTTGTCTGTGTGACACCTAGCAACTTAATTTGGTTCAACTTGTTACACACACACACACACACACACACACACACACACACACACACACACAGACACACACACCAGCATGGATGGAATTTGCTAAACCAGCATTTAATTAGAAAATAACAATATTCAGCATTCCTTTGTTAAATATTTTGTCTTGAACCACAATCTATTGATACACAACAGTAGCTTAGTAATAAGTATCTTGTGTTTTCCCCACAAAAGTTTTATGTTAAGAAACCAAAATAAGCCGGGCAGTGGTGGCTCACACCTTTAATCCCAGCACTCGGGAGGCAGAGCCAGGTGGATCTCTGTGAGTTCAAGGCCAGCCTGGTCTACAGAGCAAGATCTAGGACAGGCACCAAAACTACAGAGAGAAACCCTATCTTGAAAAAAAAAGAGAAAAGAAAAAAAAGAAAAAGAAAAAAGAAACCAAAGTATTTTGCATATTTCATGCAGTGGAGTCTAGTTGAAAATGTAATCTCTTCCCCTCTCTCCACTCTGTATGTCTGCTGTGTCTTCAATCTTTTCCCCAAAGTTCATGCAACATGTTGAAAGTGAGACCTGTAAGAACTGTTTAAGTTAGATGCCCTTCCCCCGTAATGGATTCGTTATTTGAACAGTGGTGACCTTGTAAAGTACGGGCCCCCATTCCCCTTCCTTGCACCTGTTCATTTGCTGTGATGTTTTTCAGTCATGTTACGACTTACAGCATGAAGTCCTCACCAAACATTTCTCCTGGGTCTTAGATTTCCAGACTTTAGAACCCTTAGACAGTAATTTGGTTTTGGTATGGAGACTGTGGGTGATTTTTATTTCATTTCTCATTTATACCTGAATTTTTTAAAATCTGTAATATATGCTAATTGGTTTTATAACTCCCTTTAAAAATTGCCAACAGTTTCAGACTTAAGGTACATGTGAACTCATTTTAGTTTGATTTTTGTCTGAACCAGAATGCAAAAGAATCCAAAAACAACTAGGCCCATTCATAAACTTGTGTTTGCTTTAAATTATCCAGTTTGTGGTATTCTGTTATAATAGCAAAAACTAGACTAAGGTACTTGGTGTGATGTGTTTATATCATCTATTTGTCTACCATCTATATAATCATTTTGAATTGATGCAGGCAGTATAGGAGTTTAAAATTATAATTATTCATAAGACATATATTTCTCATGCTAAATAAAATCTGCCTGTTACTTCCAAGGTAGATGCCAAACTTAAAAGCTGTTAAAAAAACACCTTGAGCAAACCATTTTTAATTCTAACAACACGCAATGTATTTAGGACACACCCCCATATATGCATGCACATGTGTACATATGCCTCTGTGTGTGTATGTGTGTGTGTGTGTGTGCGTACAGAGGCCAGCAGAGGATCTAAGGTTACCTGCTCTATCTCTCTCTACCTTATCCCCTTAACATAGTCTCTCATTGAATGTGGAGCTCACCATTTTTTCAGGTAGGCTGCCTGGCCAACAAGCCTCATATCTCTGGCTTCTACCAGTGATGGAGTCACAGAAGTGTGACGCCACACCTGGCTTTTTATGTGGGAGCGTAGAATCCACATGCAGCCACAATTAGATCCTCAAGCTTTCACAGGAAGTGTTCTTACCCACTGTACCATCTGCCTAACACCCTAAGAGCATCTTTAAATACGCCAATTAATACTTTTTTCTAAAATTTTCTTACACACACACACACACACACAGAGAGAGAGAGAGAGAGAGAGAGAGAGAGAGAGAGAGAGAGAGAGAGAGAGAGAGAGAGAGAGAGAGAGAGAGAGGATGAGAGGATGAGAGAATGAGAGAAAGAATGAGAGTTCACACATGTGCCTTGGCATGTGTGTGGAGGTCAGAAGACAACTTGCAGGATTTGGTTCTCTCTCCCATGTGGATCTTAGGAATGAAACTCAGGTCCTCAGGCTTGGCAGCAGGCACTTTACCCACGGAGCCATCTCCTCAGCCTGTAAATACTCTTTAAAGTGGGAAGAAAAGTGGTATTTTAGTGGCATGGTTTGAGACACGTATATTTGTATGAAAATAATGAAGGCATTTATGGATCCGTAGAGGTTTTCTGAGTGGTGGAATAGCCAAACCCGATGAGAGGAAATTGCAAAGAAGTGGGTACTTTGCCATTTTCTTCATTTTAGATAGCTGCATTTTGAAGACAGTCGTTTCTGCTTCATGTTCTTGGTCAAAAATGTTTTGAGGAGAAAATATAATAATGATGAAATGAAACATGACTCTTTCTGCTAATGATCTAATATTTCAACCTAGACTCACTTGATTATAGTCACTTGTATGGGGTTTTAGAGCCACATATGCCTGGATTACAGCTCAGAGTTATTTATTCAGATTCTCCATTTTTCAAAATCTGCATTTTGAAAAAAAATTGCAGATGATTTAAAAATATAACAGAATGTTTCTTCTCAAAGAAGGGAAGAGTATTTTCCTTGAAATATAAAATATGTTATAGGAAAGTATACAAATAATATATGACTGAAATTTTCTCAAAGAAAACATGCCCAGAAAATAGGTACTCAGAACAAGAAATGAAACACGATGGCTGGAGATGGAGCTCAGTTGGTAGAGTGCTTGCCTAACATGCAGGGGTCCTGGGCTTAGTCCCTAGCACTGCATAAATCAAGCATGGTGACACACACTTGCAATCTCAGCTTTTGAGGAGGGGGTAGGAGGATCAGAAATTCAAGGTCATCCTTGCTACATGAGACCTTGTCTCAAAAACCAAAAATATACCCTTTAATCATTATTAGAGCCACAGAAGCCTCCCTTCTGCTTCTTCTAGTTACAACCCAACTTCCACAACACTATGGAACTAGTTTTGAATGTCTATACCATAAGTTAATTAATTATGCTTGCTTTTTAAATTTATTTGTATAAGTAGAAACATAGAGAATAGACCTTGAATATAGCTTCGACTCAACATTGTATTTGTGAGATCATTCATGTTATTGTAATTTAGTCATTCTTATTGTTGAATAGCATTCCATTCTACCCAGATACTATAATTTCTGCATTCTATCGTTTATAGTGCTAGAGGTATTTTCAGTTTGGCAGTGCAGTCGTGCTGCTGTGCATATTTATATACATGTCCCTTTGGGTGAACATGCATTCTGCTCTTCACTCTCTTCTTCCTTCTCCATCCTCCTGCCTCCTTCTCCTCTCCTCCTCACCTTTTCCCTTCTCCTTCTCCTTCCCTGAGGCAGAATGTCAGTATGTGTGAGGTGACTTTATCTATGTAGATCAAGCTGACTTTGAGCTCTTAATCATCCTGCCTCAGCATATTGAGCATTGGAATGAGAGGCATATGCCATTATGTATATACTTTGTAAGTTGATTTCTCACACCTTTGGTGGGAGATTCTAGACAACCTCTACTTTGACCTGTTTAACTGAAGTGCTAAGATCTCTTAGCATCCAGAAAGTTATTTAGCATTCCCAGAAAAGAGGCCAGGTTAGTGAGTGATTTTTGAAATGCAGAGTATCTCAAGACATTTTGGTTCCAAAGGAAAGAGGGGTCCTAATGTAGTACTTGTGCCGGCAAGCACACTACATCTTATGCAAAACTCAATTATGCCAGCTTATGTCCCTGTTCTACTTGCAGAGCTCAAACAGATTCATAAACTTGAGAGAGAGAGTAGAGTCTACATACAAGTTCCCGGTGTGTGTTTTATAACAATTCCTTCTACAGTCAAAAAGGAAAAGTTGCCATAGGTTTAAGCAGAGGCTGGTGGGAGTAGGCTGAGTCATATGCAAGTGGAGTTTAGACTTTTCTTCTGCCTCCCCATCAGCCAAAATGCCCCCTCAGACCACATAGTTTACATATATGTTCTTTAGGACTACCTGTGTGCATGTATGTATTTATATTTTTACCTTTGTGGTGCTAGAGTATTTAAATTTTTTTATTGCTATGGTGAATACGATATTTTCTAGCATGCTATCTTCTCATTACTTATTTTTAATATTCCATTAAATTTTTATATCCATATCTCATCTTGTGATTCTACTGAATATTACTAGTAGTTCATATATTATTATTGATTTTTTTCAGTAAACTTTACCATGTACCATGTGTTTCAATAATTTATGTCATTTCATTTAGTATTCATAACAAACTAAAAGAGTACTAGTATTAATTATTTACCTTCTATAAGTGTAGAATCTGAGGGTATGAGGGTACCCTTCCAAGGTTATTTATCTTATCAGTAATAAAAATATGATTCAAGCCTGTGAAATTAATCTCTGTATTGTATTTAATTCTCATCAGTTTTTAGAGTTTTTCTTGAGTTTATTTTTTAATCATATCAATAGATTTTATTATTATCAATTTTCGTATAATAACTACTATTCTTGTTTCAGCTTCAAGTCCTATTGGATTAGTTAGAGATAACAGAAGTATATTAAAAACCAATAAAAGTAGGTAGCCTTTTTTGTTGATGATTTAATGGAAACCCATATCGCTTATTTATTTAATTTAAAAATTATGTCAAAAAATTATGTCAAGAATGTATCCTTCCATTCCATGTTTTTTAAATAAAAAATTGATGGT